CACAAGAGTGTCCCACAAGAGTGTCCCACAAGAGTGTCCCACAAGAGCGTCCCACAAGAGTGTCCTACAAGTGTGTCCTACAAGAGTGTCCCACAAGAGTGTCACACAAGAGTGTCCTATAAGAGTGTCCCACAAGAATGTCCTACAAGAGTGTCCCACAAGAGTTTCCTACAAGAGTGTCCCACAAGAGTGTCCCACAAGAGTGTCCCGCAAGAGTTTCCTACAAGAGTGTCACACCAGAGTGTCCCACAAGAGTGTCCCACAAAATTGTCCCACAAGAGTGTCCTACAAGAATGTCCTACAAGAGTGTCCCACAAGAGTGCCCCACAAGAGTGTCTCACAAGAGTGTCCCACAAGAATGTCCGACAAGAGTGTCCCATAAGAGTGACCCACAAGAGTGTCCTATAAGAGTGTCCCACAAGAATGTCCGGCAAGAGTGTCCCATAAGAGTGACCCACAAGAGTGTCCTATGAGAGTGTCCCACAAGGAGTGTCCTACAAGAGTGTCGTGTAAGAGTGACCCACAAGAGTGTCCCGGAAGCGTGTCCTACAAGAGTGTCTACAAGAGTGTCCCGCAAGAGTGTCCTGCAAGTGACCCACAAGAGTGTCCTACAAGAGTGTCCCACAAGAGTGTTCCACAAGAGTGTCCCAGAAGAGTGTCCTACAAGAGTGTCCCGCAAGAGTGTCCTACAAGAGTGTCCCACAAGAGTGTCCCACAAGGGTGCCCCGCAACAGTGTCCCACAAGAGTGTCCTGCAAGTGACCCACAGAGTGTCCCACAAGAGTGTCCCAGAAGAGTGTCCCACAAGAGCGTCCTATAAGAGTGTCCCACAAGAGTGTCCTACAAGAGTGTCCCACAAGAGTTTCCTACAAGAGTGTCCCACAAGAGTGCCCCACAAGAGTGTCCTACAAGAGTGTCCCGCAAGAGTGTCCCACAAGAGTGTCCCATAAGAGCGTCCCACAAGAGTGTCTCACAAGAGTGTCTCACAAGAGTGTCCCTTAAGAGTGCCCTACAAGAGTTTCCTGCAAGAGTGTCCCACAAGAGTGTCCTACAAGAGTGTCCTACAAGAGTGTCCCAGAAGAGTGTCCTTCAAGAGTGTCCCACAAGAGTGTCCCACAAGATTGTCCCACAAACGTGTCCGACAAGAGTGTCCTATGAGAGTGTCCCACAAGAGTGGCCCACAAGAGTGTCCCATAAGAGTGTCCCTCAAGAGTGTCCTACAAGAGTGTCCCATGTCCCACAAGAGTTTCCTACAAGACTGTCACAGAAGAGTGCCCCACAAGAGTGTCCTACAAGAGTATCCCACAAGAGTGTCCTACAAGAGTGTCCCACAAGAGTTTTCTACAAGAGTGTCACACAAGAGTGCCCGACAAGAGTGTCCTACAAGAGTATCCCACAAGAGTATCCCACAAGAGTGTCCCACAAGAGTGTCCTACAAGAGTGTCCCACAAGAGTGTCCCACAAGAGTATCCCACAAGAGTTTCCTACAAGAGTGTCCCACAAGGAGTGTCCTACAAGAGTGTCGTGTAAGAGTGACCCACAAGAGTGTCCTACAAGAGTGTCTCACAAGAGAGTGTCCCATAAGAGTGACCGACAAGAGTGTCCTACAAGAGTGTCCTACAAGAGTGTTGTGTAAGAGTGACCCACAAGGGTGTCCTACAAGAGTGTCTCACAAGAGAGTGTCCCATAAGAGTGCCCGACAAGAGTGTCCTACAAGAGTGTCCCACGAGAGTGTCCTACAAGAGTGTCCCACAAGAGTGTCCTACAAGAGTGTCCCACGAGAGTGTCCCACAACAGTGTCCTGTAAGAGTGTTCCACAAGAGTGTCCTACAAGAGTGACCCACAAGAGTATCCTACAAGAGTGTCCCAGAAGAGTGTCCCACAAGAGTGTCCTACAAGAGTGTCACTTGGACATATGTAGCTTTTCGAACGTGTTTGCATTCGGGTTCGTGGGTTCCATCTTGTTTTCTTCACGATAGACACCAGTAGTTTCAAAGACAGCAGCTGTTTCAAACAGAATCGTAGATACGTAGTTTTCAGTCCTGTTGAGCATGTGCAGTAATTGAAATACCCAACCTATACCAGTTTCTTTTGTTTGAGGGCAAGGTGCGACCACCCGCGACAAACACTGATTCGCCACTGATCGTGCCTTATCGCCGCAGGATATGTCTTGCATCCAGCTGTTTTTGACGGAACCATCCACAGTTTGGGCACTGCCTCTGTGGGGAAGAACGTGAACGATTTGAAGATCTTTGGAGGTGTTGGGCGTGTCTCCATCATCCAGACGGAAAACTTTTCACAGAACGACGCTTGGTGTTCGAAGGATTGAAGGTATAACTTGATTAAATTTGGGACAAATATATGCAGCGGCAGATGGTCCATGGTTCAGATTGAGACATGCATTATTTTAGGTCAGCGGTCAGCGGTTGTACTGGTACAGTACAATGGTCGGACCTCTACCTCTACATGTCAGGGTTGGGGCGCCAAGATCAATGAGAACATGAGACCACGCCCCAGCTGCCCAACCAAGAACGGTGAATAACAAAATGGATGCAGCATGCCATCCCTTGAGCCGAACCATTTTCCACGCAGAGGACGAGTATTGGATTTGGCTGAGCATCAAAGAGAAGTTGGAAGCTTCAGAGACTTTTGACCTCAAGGCTGTTCCGCACAGTTTCTGCAAAGCCGATCCCATGGACTCACGCATCATGCCAGCACGTCACGCCACGAAGATTCAGTCACCAGGCCAGTCTACAAGTTTTACTTGCAGGTCATGTCCACCACGGGCACGGTGCTGATGCTCATGGACAACGTGGTCTTCCGGAAGGCACCGGACCGGACCGTCAAGGACCCTGTCAAGTCTCAGCCAGCCATGTTTGGATGCTGGACGATGCACCCTGGACAGGGCCTCCAACAAAAAACGGTATTGCGCCCCAGTGCGTTGTGACTGACTATCACAGACATTCATAGTTTGTCTCATTAGAGGGTGAACTGGGTAAACTTTCAAGCGACTCTCGGTTTCTTTAAACTCTTTGTCTTTGTCAAAGACCTTGATATGTGTGCTGCAGTTTCTTCCGATGATGCCTTTTCTGCTAAACGAAGCCTTGAGGGGGAGAAGAACTGTACTGAGAATATACTGAATATACTATAACTGCAATTTCTAAGCATAGTTGGTGTCAATATTGGAGAAGCAGTCTAAACGGGGTCAACACTGAAGCCAGGGTTTTGCCGCTCCATCCGCGGGTGTCTTTTTCCAGAGCATCACCAAATTATGAACTCGGCCATGCGCTACAAATTAATTATGTGCCTGGCTCTTTGCTTGGTCCAAATCCTGTTGGTTGGATGTTGAATTGAGATTTAATTACATGTGACATGACCCGGGTAAGCTACATGACACTCGTTTATGTTGTCAACATAAAGAGGATGTTCCCAGCAACCCTCACTGAAACAAGTTTTCAGAACCTGAGGATATTCTGTGCGTCATACAGAGGATATTCTATGTCCCAACCCTCAAGTGTTTGCCAGGTCGTCCATGTTGTTATTTTGTCTGTGTAATTTGGTGCAAGAGAGCTGTTTGTGGGGACTTCATGATTCCGAACCAAGCATCTAGAGCGTGTTTATCCCAGAGCATGTTTATCCCAGATTTCGACTGACTATAGAATAAGAGCGACCACCTTTTATACACAACAGCCACGTCGTGGGCAGGTCTTGCCTGAACAGATTCAGATGGCCATCGCTGCACAGTCTACACCAGAGGATGACTTGCACTCAGCCGATTGGGCAGGTTGGCATGGTTCTTTGGTGGGGAGGAGAACCGAAGGGTGTTTGTGAGAAGAAAGATCTTCCCGACACCGGCTTGGAGTTGGACTGGATATTCCAGACGCAGGGCGGACAGCTGAAGTGGCTCTTCACCAAGAGATTAGTTCCCCGGAGGAGTAACCAATCGATCTGAGTTACATGCTCAAACCTGGTGATGTGGGAGGGCTCATTGTACAGAATCCCCGTGTCCCCACTTCTTGAAGGTGAGCGGTTTCTTTTGGGTTATGTAGTCATGTCTGACCGTGTGCTGTGGATCCACTTCCCCTCCCTTGATTCGAGCACTCCTGAATCGTGTTCGCGTGTTCGTGACCGCCTGCAATTTTCTTAGGCCAAAGTGTCAACCTGCGTGTGGAAACCAAGCGACCAACAAAGGCGCTCTCTCCGCAGCATTTGGGTTCACAGCATCACAGAACAAAGCCATCAGCTCTTCAAGTCGGTCTTGACGCAATGGCCCAGGCTATGAAGGGAATGAAGGTCATCAAGAATATGAAGGTCGGCGCCAGATGAAACTGAGTGTGGGTTGTCATGGAAATTGCTGTACATGGTTCACCCGCCCAAACAAATATAAGAAAATAGCAATATTCAACTGAATGGGACACGAGTTCTCAGCCACCCTGAACAACCTGGAGATCCTTCTACATATGTATGAAAATAAGAAGACGACCAGCAAGTTTCTGTAAGAGGTTGTATACATCAAACAATATTATCTTTTGCCAGTGGTTTCTGGAAGTCTCTATATAACTGTAGTTATAACTGTTTGAAGGTGGTGGAACCAATAAGTCAGTTGAAACCGCATATGCACATGTTCCTTACCCAATACAGGTCCCGTGCAGATAGTGCCTGCCACCTCAAATGGCCCACCAGTTCAGTAAACTCGAACTATTTGTAAACATCCTTATTTCTCATGTTATTTCCCGTTGCGAACCAGAGGCGTGACGACGTGGGGGTCAAGCCATGTAAGCCAGTCAAAGAGTGCCAGCCTTCACGCTCAACACGGATCTTCTAAAGATTTGTGGACATGTTCTCGCCACTGGTAGCCTGATGCATGCAATACATATGTCTCTTCCATAGATGTTGGAAGAACTGATATAATATGTCCATATATTTCCTGATTCCATGTTGAATCTATCAATCCAAAATCCAATGACTCTGTGAACCTATCCAGTTGGGCCTCCATGACCCCATCCCTTTTCTTCGCCTGTCTTTTTTGCTACGGCCAAGATCATTGCTAAGAAGAACAAGAAGATCGTGCCCTGGCGCAGATCCGTTGGGTCCTGCTCACCGTAAAAGTTGAAAAAGTTGAGTTGAACTAGAAGTTCGTAAGAGGTTATCATTGTTTGTTGGTAGATGTCGCTCTCAGTCATGGTGGTCCACTGTGTTTATAGCAGTTTGTTACTGCTCAATATATAAAACAACAAAGTACTGAGTATGTGTATATATATAAATATGTGCAGTATGTCAAGCGATACCCAAGGCTTCCAAGGATTGTATTGAAATGGGGAGACTTCCAAAACCAATGAGGTGTGTATGTTGGAACCAAAAAGAAACCCATTAGGGATCAGCAGTCATTGGCAAAGGGGCTTGCCCAGCAATCCAGCTGCCAAGAGCCACAGTGAATGCTTACGCGCGCTCCCCCTGAAACCAGAGGATTGGGTACAGGAACTTGGCCCCAAAGACCCTTTTCCCTTTGCTCTAAGGGTTCTAGCGTCGCTAGCGTTCATTCTTTGCAACCTACCGGCATTCTCGCGACCATGTCTCGTAGCCTCATCGCTACGTCCCATCGCACCCCGACAGACTTCGCCAGAACAGACCTCCGCGCATTTGGCGCCGAGGAGATCTCCCCCATCACTGGCTTGCCCAAAAGGATCCGCCGCGACAATGGGCGCGAAGCCGCTGCCAAGGCCGCAACGATGACCAAGGACGGGTTCCGACTGCACCGACCGGGTCCTCGTTTCAGAAAAGCACAGGCACCGTCATGTTCAACCAACCGCAGAAGACCTTGGGGTTTTGCAGAATCAAACAAGAACAAACTTGAAACATCTTGAAACGTTGAAACACGACACGGACGCTGTCACGCATTATAGTCTTTTTTTGAACTGTACACGTCAAATCTTCTTTGCAGGGAGTTAATCACGTGCCAACACGTGTCAACTATCAGAAATATGGCGGTTATTTTTTTGCCCACATCCAGTATAAATCATCTACCCTTGATTATCCAAAAGCTCCAAACAGCCCTTGGTCCCTCACAACCTCGGTAAGAGCTGGTTCGAATCACATGCAATCAACCAATGTTCCAATAAGGGCACTTATGATGCTAAGCTAAGCATCAACCGAAAACACCTCGCCGAACCAGGAGGAATGGCTGACTTACCAGACGGACTCTTGGGCGGCATTGGTCGGTGCCGCATTGTGGGCCCCATAAAGACCCGGAGTTCTTGAAATGTTGGACTATACATAATCATGGCATTTCAAACTCTGTTTTTGCTGCTCATTCTCATCCACCAGTTGCACGCTTGGTGAATTGGCCGTGTCTCGAGCCTCCTTCTGATGTGAACCTGCCCTTGAAAACTGGTGGTCACTAGGACCCTGATTGAGCGGCCGAACAGGGAAATCCTCGACGCCACAAAAATATCACAAATCATATCGGTGATCTATAATTCCATATCTATTTGACCCTTCTTAGACTTGGTCCTTTTCATCAAACGATTGGGCCCGTTGGGCTCCCAAGTTGATACCATGATTCAAGAGGGGAGTGGTGAAGGGGTATTGGATGGTATTGGTATTCAACATCGGTAAATCACTAGAAGACCCGGATTGACTGATTGGCAGAAAATCACATTTGCATGTAGATGCTGCAGATCACAGTCCAGTGTGTTTTTAGTCCGGGACCTCCCCTTGAAAAGCCGCTCGAGGACAAGTACAGGGCTCAGTGGCCAAAGCCGAAGTACATGTCCGAGCCCCGGGAGATGGTGTATGTACGAGACGGAGGCGATGGAGCATACCGACAGAAGACATATGTCCCTTGGAATTGCAACCATAGATGGGTTTTAGATGGGAGGGTGAGCGGAGGTGGGTATTAACAATAGGGCGAGGGTGGACTCGTGCCACCTCGGGGATCAGTTGGTATGAGATGATCAATCAAATTGCACTGCTATTCAAGGCTATTCATACACACGGAGGACCCACTCAGCATCCTAAAGGGCAAAACATTGGTGCCACTTGACCTTGGGAGTTGTCCTGCTTTCGCTGAAAGGCCACCATGGTATTTCAATGTATAGGATTAAGGATTACAAGACCAATAGCGATGGCCTCCACCTAATATATTTCATACAGGCGACTTGGTCAGCTCAAGTTGCACTTCAGTCGATTGGGCGCCCAGGAGATTGTGACCCGATGGACGGCCAAAACCAAGATTGAGTACCGCCCCCACGCGAAGGCACCCGGATCCAAGAGTCACATCCGTGCCTGGGCGCGAGTCATGCGGCACTGGGTGGAAAGGAATGCAGACGAGAAAAGTGTGTTTGAACAAAGTGCCCATCAGATCTATATAGCTGTTGGTCTCCATGTGGACCAATTTGGAGGGTTGTAGTTGGTTCTGAAATGATTCATACTAACTTTATCTATATCTCCCAGTATGTCCGTGATTGACAAACACGGATGTCCTTCTTGGTTGTTTTGATGGGTCACAAATCACAGGTACACCTTTAACCTTCTTGGAGAAGAGTGGTGTCCCCGTTAGAGGTCAACAGGTGGAGTGTTCTTTTTGTGTTTTGCTTTTAATGCAAGTGAGTCTCGGTGACAAGGACGTTTCCGCTCTGGTTTGTTTGGGCAAGATTGTTTTGCTTTTCAGGCCCCATGTTTCTTTGCCCAGCCTTTGCAAGGATACGAGAAGTATTCCAAGGCAAAGACAGCTCCTCGGCTCCTTCCATTGACTTCCTGGAACATCCACAGGGACAAAAGGGACCATTATTGGTTGCCTCAAGTACTGTTTTGGAAACAATCATTGCACCTTTCGGAACAGGGCGGGAAGATGATTTGTTCTACAGGAGTTTTGTTATAATTTGTGGTGGTCTCCACTTTAACAAGGTTTCTGAGCATCATCGTAGAATTCTGAAAGCAGACACGGTTCAAAGTAAGTATACATGTAGTAAGGCCACTCAAACCATTAATCTGAATCTAAACTTTTGAATGAGATGCACCATTCAAGCAAATAAGCCTACTTTGTGCATATGTGCTGGAGGTTTGTTTGCCGGTTTTGGCCGGCTTTCAGACTGCGAGACTGCATCTATTTGTTCAAGGGCTTGGTATATATTCAGAAGAACATCTTCCGGAGGTTCATTCCTCAAGCTTCCATAGCAGGGGAAGAGAAACCCTCAAAACCTTCACCTTTTAGGGCGTGTCTCAGGGATTTGCAAATTTGGGAGGGTGCCACATCATTTTTCCAGTGTGTGCCCCTGGTCGTGGGAGGTCAGGGCCTGGTTTAGCAGGAAGTGAGTTCTGTCAATTCCTTAAAACCATAGGCTTAACATCGGGTGGTGATCCGTATCAAACCATGACTCCCAGCTTGCTTTGTGCCTAAGTAGGGCTGCCGCCAGATTTTCCAGCAAAAGGAAGATCTTCCCCTTTCTTGTCAGTCTTAAAACGATCTTGAAGTTGGACCCTGCAGCGTTGGAAAGGCGCATTTCATCCTTTGCGTTGCCAGGTCCAAGGTCAAAGTGAGACTACCAACTGACTCTGAATAAGTACTGCTGATGGAAGACTTATGCACAACTCCAACCTAAGGGCGATGGCCTCCAACCTAAGTACTGCTGATGGAAGACTTCCTCCACCACCTGTGAAGGCAAAACACTTGTGACTTTAGGTCTCCCAGTTTCTCTTTCTCAACCCTCAGACCACGCCTGGAGGTCGGCGAAGCCCTGGCACTTGGATGTTATCCTGTA